CATAATGGCTGTGTCACTGTATTCCCACGTAGTTCAACCACGGTTCGAGTCCTGGACCGTGTGGCTTAAACTCACACTGGGCGCGTGTGCGTGCATGCCCAAGATCCCAAAGGGAGAATGGAGAAGGGACTGCAGCGTGGCCATCCCCCCTGGGGGGTGATTTCTCACGTTCTGTCTCTCTGTCTCTCTCTGTCTGTCTGGTGAGTGCACGCAACCTATAGCAAAAACCTCTCCAAAAAAAAAGAAAAAAAAGTATTTTATTTAACTTTATTTATTTATTATTTTGTTTGACCAGAGGGGGACAGAGAGAGAAAGAAAGTAAGAAAGCAAGTCGTCAGGTCCAGGACTTGAACTGCGGTTGGCCATGTGGGAGTCCAGTGCCCTTAAACACCATACCACCTGCTATATATTTTTAAATTAAATTTATCATCATCTTTTTTTTTTTTTTAATTTGCTCCAGGGCACATGCACTCACCAGAGAGAGATGGGAGTTGGGGAGAGTGAGAAAGCAAGCCACCAGGTATAGGACTCAAACTGCTATTTGCCAAGTGGGAGTCCAGTGCCTTATCCACCATACCACCCGCTGGCCTGTTGATTTTTAACAAAAGCATATGGAAGAAGAAAGAGACAGGTTTTTGTCGTTTATTTTTAGGCTTTTGCCACAGGGAGCATGTGCTAACTGAAAAGACAGAAATAGAGGGAAAGTGAGAGATCACCCCCCCACACACACGGGGGCACTGGTCATGTCGCAATCCCTTCTCCATTCTCTTGGGATTTTGAGTGTGGGGAGCAAGTAGCAAAAATCTCTTTAAAAATGCAAAAATAGTGCAGATAATTCCATATAGCATCCATCCCGCTGCCCTAAAATATTAACATCTTACACAGTACAGTGATCAAAGCCTGGAGGCCCACTGATGCAGCACCACTCAGCCCTGTGCAGGCTGTGCTAATCGCCTCTGCTGTTCTTTCTCTGTTCCAGGATGTAGTCAGGGTCCCACCTGCACTGAGATATTTTTCCATAATCTCCTTTAATCTAGATCCTTTCTTCAGTCTTATTTTTTTCCCTTCACCAGGAAACTTATTTTTAAAATGATTTATTTATTTATTATACTTTCAAGAGATATAAATATAGATTTAGAGTGCATGTGCTCGCCAGAGACAGAGAGAGAGAGAGAGAGAGAGACAGTGAGAAACCACCCCCCCCGGGGGGGGGGGATGGCCACGCCACAATCCCTTCTTCTCCATTCTTCTCTTGGGATCTTGGGCACACACGCACATGTACCCCGCATAAGCCTTTGGGTCTGGGTCTCCAACTGTGGTCGACTACATGGGAGTCCAGTGACAAAACTATGACACCATCTGCTGGTCCCAGCATTATTTTTATCATTACTATTATTTTTAAATTTGCTCTAGGGCATGTGGACTCAACAGAGAGAGAGATAGGAAAGTGAGAAAGCAAGCCACCAGGTCTGGGACTCAAACTGTCATCGGCCATGTGGGAGTCCAGCACGTTAACCACCACACCACCTGCTGGCCCCCACCGTGACACTCCTGAGTACTGCCCCGTTACCTTGTAGGCTGTTCCTTAACTTCCGTGTTTGTTCGATGTCACACTTTAGACTGGGATTATGCAGAAGTGCTGCAGACCCTTCTCTGCGTCAGACCAGTAGCACTGATGTCGGTTTGTCCCATTACTCGCCGTCCTTGGGGTCACTTGGTTTAGACTGCGTCTGCCGGGTGACTTTCCCTTTAGCGTTCTCGAGTAGCTTGCGGGGAGATCCTTGGAGTCTACGTAAACAAATAGGACTGTCTGACGACGAGAGGGAGGAGGGACGCTAGCTCCTTCACTCCATAACTCCTGGTCTTTCTGCCCGTTGTTGCAAATAAACCCAAGGAAAACCTGTTTGCGCTCTCCCCTGGGCAAAGAAGCGGCTTTCACATAGTGACCACTGGGGGGCAGCAGAAGATAGCGAGAAATTTGAAACTCATCCCCCAAGTCTGGCGACGTGTGGATGGAGAGTTCCTTGCCTTGCAAGCAGCTCGGCTTCCTGGGCCGCGAAGGCTCTGCACCCCTTGGCATCTTCCCAGAGCCACACCGCAATCCCTTCTCCTCCACGTCTTGCAGGTGGCCATAGGGAGGGTTGGCCCTCGCTCTGCTCTCCCTGTGAGAATCATGACCCAGCCTGATGCTCTGGTTGCCAAGCACCGAGGACGCACCGCCTCCAAAACAGGGCTCCAAGGGACCAGCAGTTGGCGTAATGGCTATGTCGCTGGACTCCCATGTAGTCGACCGCGGTTCCAGTCCTGGACCTGGTGACTTAAACTCATGCTGGGTGCGTGTGCGCGCCCAAGATCCCGAGAGAAGAATGGAGGAGAAGGGATTGCGGCGTGGCCATCCCCCCTGGGGGTGATGTCTCACTCACTTTCGGTCTGTCTCTGTCTTCTGGTGAATGCACTCGTCCTATAGCAAAAAACTCTAAAAAACAAACAAACACACACCCAGGGCTCATGAATCTGGCTACAAAATTCAGGGGCACTGAGGGCAAATCCATTGGAAACGGGTTGCACCCTCTCCTCCCCCTGCCAATAAATAAATAAATACATAGATGATAAATAGATAAATCTACATCTGTCCAATGCAAACAAGGGCAGAATTTCCTGGCAAGTTATGAGGATGGTGATCAGGTCAAAGGGAAAAGAGGGAAGACTGGGCAACTAGAGGGTTTTGGGAGTGGGGACCCTTAGGTGGAATTGGGGGGCAAGTCCCTGAGAATGCTCAGACTTCTATTTCTCTCAGTCTTTCCATTAGGCTCATTTTACATTTTTAAAAATGTTTATTTCTTCCGTGAATGAGAGACTGATAGAGAGAGAGGCCCCAACAGGGTCTAGAGGCCAATCCCCACCCCAGCCTCCAGCCTCCAGCCCGCAGCTCACGGCCAAGGGTATACCTGGCATACTCAGAGGTCTCTAGATTGAAGGGGGAACCTTCACACATGGAATCACCTTCTGGAGCATTGCCTTTTACCACTGCACCACTGTCTGGCCCCCAAACGTGGCACCTTTGGGGGGTGATTGGGTTGTGGGAGCTCTGCTCTCAGGAGTGGGATTATGCAGGTAAGAAAGGGCAACTTGGGTCCCCTCTTGCCCTTTCTTTGCCCTTCCACCACATTTAGAGCACAAAGCCCTCGCCAGGTGCTGGCACCTCGATGTGGACTTCGGGACCTCCAGAACTGTGAGCCTGTCACCACCCATTCAGTATGAATTACCCAGTCTGCGGTATCCTGTTATAATGCAGAACTGGACCGAGACAGCCCCACCTTGATCCCTGACTACAGCCCTGTTGGGCACACGACTCTTGTGCCTTTCAGCATGCCTCCATCCCTGCAGAGGAGGGCCCATCTCTGCCATGGAATGCTCAAGGTCACTGAGGGTGTGGGAAGAGAAGCGAGTCCGGAGCAAGACTCAGGGCCAGAGGGACAGCAGCCAGAGACAGGGAAGGAAAACAGGTGAGGTGGGGACACTGCTGGCCAGTGAACATCTCTCCCTTCTCGGCAGGCCTGCAGGTGGGGTGTGGGAGGCACCTCCCATCTTGCATCGGAGTCCTTGCCACCAGACGGTTTCCGAAGGCAGGGGTATCTGTGTGTCCCCTGCCCCTCCCACCCAGCTGGAAACCCCTAGAAACCCCTGGGGCTGTCAGAGCAGCTCCATCTTCACGGGGAACCCAGGCTCTTTCCACCCCATGGCTTTGCCATCCTTACCTGTGACACCTACCTCAAAGTCCAAGATGGCTGTTGGTGCTCCAGCCATTATGTCTGCATTCCAGCCAGCAGCTTTGACTTTGCCATGTGTACAGTGGGGCTAACACCTACATTTGAAGGTTGCCAGAAAAGAGGAGATGGCACAGAAGTATCCTGGGTGGAGCCTGCTGTGACTGCTCGGTGCCTCTCTGGGGCTTTTGGTGGGCTCTTTTCTTTGCAAGGTGCCTGCACCTGGGCACTGCTCAGTGGGCCCTGAGGGACTTGCTGGCTGTGGGCTTCCTGCAGGCTCCTGTCGAACCTGCTCCGGCTCTTTGGGCAGGGCCTGATCAACTAGACTCCGCTCTGTGAGTGGCTCCACGCTCTCTGCGGCCCACGCTGGGCTCCATGTGGCTCAGCTGGAGGGAGCCCTGGGAAGGTCTGCAGTTGTGAACCCCAACAGGGTGGGGTGAGTGGGCTTCCCCTGGCTGCTCGAGCCTGGCAGGGAGTCCTGACAGCTCTCCAGATGGTACGAAAGGAAAATGTGGGGGAACAGCTGAGGGCATAACGCCTCTGTGGCTGGACTCCTACATGGCTGACCACCGGTCGAGTCCCAGACCCAGTGGCTTCAAACTCCTGCTGGGCACGTGTGTGCACATGCCCAAAATCCCAAGAGGAGACCGGAGAAGGGATTGCAGCGTGGCCACCCCCGGCCCCAGGGGGTGATTTCTCGCTTTCTGTCTGTCTGGCAGGCGAACAGGCCCTCCAGCAGAAATCTCTCGGAAAAAGAAAAACACCAAGGGCATGCACGTGTGCCCCAAATCCTGACAGGATGGAGGAATGGAGAAGGGACTGTGACATGACCATGCCCCACGGCGGGCGGGTCCCCCACTCCCCTCCTCCTGTTGAACACAAGTGCACTTGAAAAAGCAAAGCAAACCAAACAAGATCTGAACAGGAGACAGCCCACCACGGCTGGCTCGGGGCTGGCTGTGCTAAAGAGGGCTTGGGGCCCCTTCCGCAGGGTACGAGAGGCCACCACGGCTTTCCCGTCCGGGTTCAAGGGGCCCAAGCAGGGCTGGGCTGGCCTCCGAGGGCAGAGGGGGCTGGAGGGCAGTTGCATTCTCCAGGGCTGTGGTGGGGGTGCCGGTGCAGGGGCTGGAGTGCGGGTGGTGACCCTGAAAACGGGTGCATGGGATGTGTGTTTGGGGCTTCGCTCTTGTTGCCCCTCCTCCTCGTGGACCCTGCAAAGGACCAGACAGAGGCGAAGGCAGAACCCAGTTTGTATTGGTTACCGCGAGCGGGAGAAAAGGCGGGTCGTTACAATCCATGAGCGGCAAGCCGAGCCGGCTCCGGGAGGGGAGCCGTGCGCTCGAAAGGCATCCCTTCGGTCTGATCTTATCTGAGTCTTGAACCGTGAGACCGGACGAGCGCGGTGATCAGGGCGGACTTTGTTTCTAAGGTAAACAATCTGTCTCTCCCCGCCCCCCTGCTTCCCCTGCACCCCGACCCAGGCCGAGGGGCACGCAGACCTCCTGCCTGCCGTGAAGTCCGGGGCTGAAAGGCCACGTGAGTTGGCGTTAGTACCTTCTGCGTGAACGAGAACAAAATATGTGGGACTGAATATACTGCAATATACATTTTCGTAAGAAACCATCTAGTAACAATTAGCACAAAACTACCGGTATAAACGGATTTCCAAAAAGGGAAACTATTGCATTTCATTAGACGGCGCTCCCTGGGCCGGAGGTCTGTCCCTCGTGGCCGTTGCTGTGGGGGCTGAGGGCCATGGCTGCGTCTGCATGGACGTGGATTCGTGGTGTCCGGAGAGGAGCCCTGACTCGGCAGCGGTGAAGACGGGGCTGTGGGGAGGCGGGCGCTCTCTGGTGGCTCATCTGGACGGAGATGTTGACGCTGCAGGAGACACTGGGGCCCCGGCAGCAGCGTGGCTGGAACACGGACCGCCCCACTCTCTCCCTGCAGCCAGTAACTGGGACAGAGCCCCAGGGCCTTCCTGGTGCCGACCAGACTTCCGGTTTTGATTTTTAAGACGCCACCGTGTCCCGGCACGAATGTCCTGTTTCCGCGGAGTGTTTTCTCGGGCTGCAGATCTGTCCGGGGACGAGGCTTTGGCATCCAGAGGTCAGTCGGCTGGGCACGGCCTGGTCTGCAGGGCAGGGGCCCTGGGGCGCAGCGTGGGGACGAGGTGCTCTGCTCTCCTTCCTGAGGGGCCCCAAGGGCGCCCGCGAGCTCTGAGCCTGCCCGAGAGCGGCAGGACAGGTGGGGGGAGGCTGTCCCCTCCCCAGGCTGCCTGGTGTTTTCTCTAAATGCCCGTGAAGACGGGTACCGCTGACAGGAGGGGACCGGCTCTCAGCACAGCCCCTCAGCTCGTACAGGGGTCTGGTCATGGACCTGAGCAGCAGGTGTGCCCGGCACAAGGCGGCGAGGGGCTGGGCAGGTACCCAGGTGCACAGCCCGGTGGACAGCCTGGCAGAGGCAGCCCCGAAGGAACTCCTATAGCTTTAACAACCATCCTCCTTTTTGAAGCAACAGTATCTGGTGCTTTCAGGGAGCGCCGACCCGGGACCCCAGAGGGTCACGTAAACATCACGTCATCTAAGAGGCACTAAGGCGGTGGGGCCGGCGAAGGCCAGGTTCCCAGGGCGGCCGGGCGCCATCTTCCGGGACCTCGCGGAAGGCGCCCGCCAGGTGCTAGATGTCCTGCAGGGAGTGGCCGGGGTCGCTGCGCTCACGCTTCACCAGGGGCTCGCCCAGGCTGCGCGCTTCTGGGTCAGCCTCGCCGCCTTGCCCATCACCGATGTCACCTGCAGGCCCGGGGTCGGGAGGAAGGGCATGGGAGGGACACAGACGTGTATATTCAGTCACACGGGCTGGGACAGGTGCAGGGCGGGTGGTGGAGGGGGACGGAGGCCTGGGACACCTGCCTCGGCCTCTGCTCTGGGCTAACCCGCCCTCCCTGGCCCGCCTGGTCACCTGTAAGTGTCGCCAAGCTGGGCGATGCCCAGGGAGCCTTCCGACCCGTGACCTCCCTTGCCTAGCACCCACTGGTCTGGGACGTTCCTCGCTGGAGGGGCAGAGCCACTCCTCTGAGCCCGCCCACCGGGACCAGCCTGCAGGGGTGTGGCTGGACCCCATCCCGAGCGTGGCTCCCCGATGTCCTCCCGACTCGCAGGAGGTGGGGCGTCTGGGCCAAGGCTACACCCACCTTTGTCGAGCAGGGTCAGCGACAGGGAGGCAAGATCGTTGAACTGGAAGAAAAGCCCAGAGTCAGCGGCATCCCCAGAGGGGTGACAGTCACTCCTCAGGGGTCCTGAGGAATGTCCCAAGGAATGTGGCCCAAACAGCACCTTAAGCAACAGCCTCCATTCACTGAGAAAATGGGTTTTGTCTCTCTTTTTTTTTTTCCTTTCCTGCGAGCAGGAGCGACAGAGAGAGGCAGATATGGCAGAGGGAAAGCGAGAACTCACCCCCAGGGGGCCTGGTCACACCACAGTCCCTTCTCGTCTCCTCTCGGGATTTTGGGCACACAAGCACACGTGCCCAGTGCGTTTTTCAGGTTGCCGGGTCAGGACTCAGACCTCAGCCACCATGCCATCTGCTGGCCCAGGCTCCACATTTTATAAGCCGCTGGGCTTCTGCCAGGAGAGGGGGATCTGGTGCTGCCAGGTGTGTGGACAGGTCCCCTCTGCCACTTTCCAGGCTGCACCTGGGGGCTGTGGGAGGGTGGAGGGGGCACTGATGGCTTGGCCTGCCAGGATGGGGGTCACCAAGATCCCCTGGGCTGTGAGCAGTGGCAGGGAGGGGGGCAGACTGAGCTGTCTCTCTCCTGGGGTCCCCAGGTCCCCACTGGTGCCTGGTGCCCAGTGCCCAGGCCAACACGCAGAGCAGAACGCACCATCCCACAGCTCCGGGGCGCGCTGCGGTGGCCTCCGGGTGATGGGAGAGCGGGAGGGGCCCACCGCCCGCGGGGTTACTGGGCGCTGAGAGCGCTACGACTCGTTTTGTTCCTCAAAACCACCTCACAGGCTGGCGCCACAGCAGTGGGTCCTGCGTGGCCGACTGGAGTTCAAATCCCAGCCCCAGTGGCTTGAAAACCACACGTGTGCACGCGTGCCCCGAATCCTCACAGGACGGGGAAGTGGGGGGACAAAGGACTGGCATGACCCGCCCTAGTGGGGGGCTCCCGCCCTCTCTCCGGCAATCATGCGTGTGCTACAGCAATGCAGTAACAATAGCAAGAAAACCCATGTGACACGGCAGTCCCCTCCTGGGTGTAGACCCAAAGAACGGGAAACAGGCGAGTGGACAAAGACTGCAAGGAACCCTCAAGCAGCCTTGCACGCGACCGCCATACGGGGGAAGTGACCTGGCCGCCCGCTGACGGCCGATGGATTTATCACACCTGCTTCGTGTGGCCATAGCAGGCCGGTGTGAGGTCTAGCAGGGCTGTGGCCAGTTTGAAATGAAAAAAGGCCTTGGGACCAGCAGTTGGCGTAATGGCTATGTCACTGGACTCCCACGTAGTCGACCGCGGTTCAAGTCCTGGACCCAGGGACTTAAATTCACACCGGGCGCATGTGCATACGTGCCAGAAATCCCGAGAGGAGAACGGAGAAGGGACTGCGGCGTGGCCATCCCTCTTGGAGAGGGTGATTTCTCACTTTGTCTCTCTCTCTGGCAAGTACACGTGCCCTATAGTAAAAATCTCTCAAAAAGGAAAAACAGGAAGGCCTCTAATGAGACACCTCCACCCGACCAAGTTCTGCGTCCTCAGGAGGGCTGTCTTGGGGGGTGGTCAGAGGAGAGACCAGGAGAGGGTATTTGAAGGAATCCGGATCGTTACTCCAGGGACGGCGACGGGCTCGGATGGACTGAGTGAGGGAGGGTGTGCACCTGCCCTCATCCTACATCCATAAACCCCGAGGCTCCGAGGTGAGCTTTCGGAGGCAGCTGGGTGGGGCTCGCTGCCCATCTCCCTGCAGCCGGCTACCCTCCAGCCTCTGCCTCTCCTCTGGTGGATCAGGAGCAGCAGCAGCCAGACCTGGCATGGCCGGTAACACGCCTACGCACCGGAAAACCATGCAGCCATAAGAAGAAAGGCGGGGCCAGCAGGTGGCGTGGTGGGTAAGGTGCTAGGCTCCTACATAGCTGTGCACAGTTCGAGTCCAGGACCCGGTAGCTTAAACTCACGCCGGGCGCGTGTGCGTGCGTGCCCAAGATCCCGAGAGGAGAATGGAGGAGGAGGGATTGTGGCATGGCCATCCCCCCGGGGTGATTTCTCACCTTCCCTTTCACTGTGCCTCCTGGCTACACATGTGCTCAGTGAGACGCCGGACACAGAAGGCCAGGCAGGGTGGGATCCCACAGGCCCACAGGGACAGAGAGGGGGTTCGGAGGTGTAGGGGCTGGGGGAGGGGGACTTCCTTTAGGAATGATGAGAATGTTCTGGAACTAGACAGGGATGACGGTAGCTCGCTGAGACTGTACAAACTGCCAATGAATTGTGCACTTTCAAACGGTAGATTTGGGGGCCACCAGGTGCCATGGTGGTTAAGGCACTGGACTCCCACATGGCTGACCACAGTTTGAATCCCAGACCTGGCGGCTTGCTTTCTCATTTTCTCTCTCCCTCTCTCTCTCTCTCTGGTAAGTGCATGTGTCGTAGAGCAAATTTAAAAATAATAAATTAAAATTCTCGAAAAGGTCAATTTTACGTTATATTGACCAAGATCTCAAGAACCAGGCCCTGGTCCCCGCAGCTGCTGGCCCCCAGCCCGGCCTCCGCTCTACCCGGAGCGCACGCGCCCACACCCTCCCTCCAGGAAGGCCCTCACCTCGCCCATGACGGCGATGGGCGTCTCGCCGGTGGCCTGGGCCACGCGGTGCTCCACCAGGTAGAACATGTACTCGTCGTAGAGCAGGCGGATGAGGTGGAAGGAGCCGAAGCTGGCGGCGCTGCGCAGGGTCAGGTCGCGGATCACCATGGAGCTGGGCGGTGGCAGAAGGGGGCTTTCAGCGAGGACGCCGGGCCACGTGGTCCTTAGAACCGCGGCTGCCGCAGAGGCCACCCTCAGTGCCACGTGATGGACGGGGCTGCCCTGAGGACCACCGGGGTGAGGGAGACGGCCCGCGCTCTGCAGAGACTTGCTTGGGAACAAAGACGGCTGTTCCCAGCCCGCGTCCTCACCAACCTTGTGCAGCCCCAGCCAGAGCGCGGCCTAGAGCTGGTGACCATCTCCCTAAATGCAGGCACCCGCCTGCCCCATGTCCTTCAACCCCCCCCAGCCTCAGCCTGGGGCTTGAGAAGCCCAGAAACAGGACGGCCCTCCAGGGGGCGCTAGTGCCTTCGTGGAGGTGGGGCTGGCCGGGCGCCCCAGAACCGGGGGCTCCAGTCTCTGCGCAGAAGAGCCCAGAGTGGTTTGCATGTTTTTTATAAATAGCTGAAAACAAAATCGAAATAATTAGAGGGCTGGCTCTGTTGCCTGGTGGTTAAGACAGTGGCTCCCACGTGGCCAGCTCCATGGTTCGAGTCCTGGTCCCGGAGCCTTGAGATACATGCCAGGCACGTGTGTGTGCGCATGCGCCCAAAATCCCAAAAGGAGGGAGAAAAGGAGGAGAAGGGACTGTGACGTGACCTTTTCCCAAAGGGGTGTTCTCGCCTTTCTTTCTGTCTCTCTCTCTCTCTCTCTGGTGAGTGCATGTGCTCTCTAGCAAAAAAAGAATTATATTTCATGAATCTTTCAAATGATGTGAATTTCACACGTAAGCACCTTCTTTAAAAACTTCCTTTTTTTCTTTTTAAAGAATTATTTAACTTTATTTATTATTACTATTTAATTTGACCAGAGAGAAACAGAGAGAGACGAGGCGTGTGAAAAACCAAGCCCCCAGGTCCAGGACTCAAACCGTGGTTGGCCATGCAGGAGTCCAGCACCTTAACCACCATGAGTGAGGCAGACAGAGAAAGAAGCACGTCCATGCCTCTGTCGGTGCTGCAATCCGCCCCCAGCCTCGGCCGGCCCCGGGCCACGGGCGCACATGTGCCACACTCGGGGGTCTCCTTCCTGGCGAGCCTGCCCTGCAGCATACCACGTTCCCCACGGAGATACCCTGGGTCTGAAAGCTCCACTGACGCCCAAGATAACCCCGGCCGGGGAGGACAGGCAGTCAGGAGGCTGCTCACGCTGGGATAGCCACCAGCCATCCCTTGCGGCTGTGCCACCAGAGACCCCGGCCCGAAGGCTGCTCGCGCACTCCTGGGCCTCCCTGGCCTGCTGCTGTGCCTTGGCCGCCTGTCCGAACTGACGGGCCCTGGCAGAGGTCTCAAACCTCCATCTCATCTCCCAAGAGCTCCCAGGGCTCTCCTGTCGCCTTGTCCACGTGTCTCTCTGCCCTTTCAACCTCCTGCTGCCGCACATTTTTCTAAAGGTCCCCAGGCACCAGGGGTAAGCTGCAGGCCTTCTAGGTCCCCAGGACCAGGGCCACAGGCAGGGCTTCGGTGAGCCTGCCCTCCCCAGGTGCGGAGTGCGGGGCAGGACCCACCTGTAGAAGGACCAGGGCTCTCCTGTCGCCTTGTCCACGTGTCTCTCTGCCCTTTCAACCTCCTGCTGCCGCACATTTTTCTAAAGGTCCCCAGGCACCAGGGGTAAGCTGCAGGCCTTCTAGGTCCCCAGGACCAGGGCCACAGGCAGGGCTTCGGTGAGCCTGCCCTCCCCAGGTGCGGAGTGCGGGGCAGGACCCACCTGTAGAAGGACCACTTGAGCAGGAACTGGTGGGCGGCCTTGGGGAAGCTGGGGCTGCCGGCGTGCTGCTCCAGGACCCGGGTGACCACGCTGTCTAGCCAGCGGGCCCACTGGTCCAGCGAGCTCTGCTGCTGCAGCGTCAGCTTGAAGTCCTGCTCCAGGCGCTGCACCACGCTCTCCTCGCACTGGCACACCCACGAGGCTTGCTCCTGCGGCAGGCCGGGCCTCAGCCGCTGTGTCCCCGCAGCGCGGCGCCACCCCGGGGCCACCCCGCTCTGAGCACGCGCACCGCAGGGGCAGGCTGCGCCGGCGCCTCCGCCTCCTCACCTGGGCCTTGGCGGATGGCGAGCCGAGCAGGGCAGAGGGCGGGCGAGGCGGGGAGGGAGCCCACTCTGCACCTGGTCTCATATCACACCTGTCTCAGCGTCTACGTGTGAGCGGCCCCTCCCCCAAACGTACGTGCGTGCGTGTGCGTGTGCGCGCGTGTGTCTACTTAGTGGGCAAACGGGCTGGGACGGGATGAAAGCGTCCGCCGGGGCAATGGCTGCTGCCCGCCGTGGGTCTGCCGTTCTCAAGCACGGACGAGGCCATGGAAACGGCCACCGGAGGGACACTTGCAAGGAAGAGGCCCTGAGGCGTGGGGACCGCCTGAGATCGCGGGCGGAGAGACCGCGGGGCGAGCGCGGCGGGGCGCTCCGGGGGCCTCTGACCTGGGTCCTGTTTCGGGGCGGGCTTTGCTGCCGGCTCAGCGGTGGGTTTGCGGGGCTTCCTAGGCCAGCGGGGTCCCGCAGACGGCCCTGTCCTGTAGCTCAGGGCCCCGTCCTGGGCCTGCGGACGGCGCCTGGGAGACCCACCTGCACGTTGGCGAAGTCCACGCGGTTGAGGTCGCTGAGCATCTGGTTGATCTGGGACGTGTTCTGGAGCACCGCGCGGGCCGCCTGCGCCAGGTGATTCAGCGACGTGTACCTCCGCAGAGTCTGCGCAAAGGCGCTGACCACGCCCACCTGCCCGGAGAGGGCGGAGCCGGTCAGCCGCACCTGCGGGCCTGGGGGGAGGGGGGGGAGCACCCGGACAGCTTCTGCTCTGCTCCGCTCCTTGCAGGGGTGCGTGGTGACAGGGACAGGGAGGAGGCGGCAGGGGAAGGGCCCGGGCAGTAAGATGAGGACTAAGAGCTAGCGAGGGCGTCACGGGCCTCTCTCACAGATGCTCTGCGACCTAACGCGCTGGCCAGTTAGAATTTAGCAGCTGGGCTCAGATCCCACTTCCAGAGCCCTCTAGCTCTCGGCTGTAGCTGTCGAAAATACAGATTCCTCAACTTGCATTTCCATCAAAAGAGGAACAGATAAAGAAAATGTGGTCTTGGGGTCAGCAGGTGGTATACCGGGTAAGGCACTCTCACATGTCACCAGCGGTTCAAGTCCCGGACCCGGTGACATGAAACTCACGCCAGGTGCGTGTGCATGCCTGCCCCAAATCCCAGGATGGGAATGGAGGAGAAGGGATTGCGGCGTGGCCATCCCCACTGAGGGGTGATTTCTCGCTTTCTGTCTGTCTCTCCACTGAGCGCACACGCCCTACAGCAAAAAGCTCTCAAAAGAAGAAATGTGGTGTGTACGAGGAGCCTTTGTAAAAGACCATGGAAATGTGTGTTGTGAAAAAATACGAGTGGATTTCAACATTTTTGTACCAAAATAAACTTTTCCCCAATGCTTTAAACATGCCTGCGTGCATGGTGGGGTGGGAGGGACTCTGGCCCTCATCTGTCTTCAGCAGCTCTGTTTTTTTCTTTTTGCTATAGGGTATGTGCACTCACCAGAGAGAGACAGAGAGACAGAAAGCGAGAAATCACCCCCCGGGGGAAATGGTCATGCCAAAATCCCTCTCCTCCATTCTCCTCTCAAGATCTGGGGCACGCACGCACACGCTACCGGCATGAGTTTCAAACTGCCGGATCTGGGGCTCCTGGGACTCGAACCGCTGTCAACTATGTGGGAGTCCAGCGAGGCAACCATTACACCATCTGTTGGAGAAGGGATTATGGCATGGCCATCCCTCCTGGGCGGTGATTTCTCACTTTCTGCCTCTCTGGCAAGCGCACACGCCCTATGGTAAAAATCCTCTCCAAAGAAAGAAAGAGAGAAGTACTCATAAGGGGCCGCTGGCCTGACAGTTCAGGTGGCTGGAGCCCACGTCGTCCACTATGTGTTCGAGTCCCAGCCCTGGAGGCTTGTAAATCATACCAGGCCTGTGTGTGTGCCCAAAATCCGCAGAGGAGAATGGAGAAGGTGCTTTCTCACTTTCTCTCTCCCCACCCCACCCCACCAGAGCATAGTGTGGGGGGGTTATTCATGAGAAGGACAGGCATTCTCTTTCCCACAACGGACAGTTTAAGTTCTGAAGGCTACAGTAACAAGTGTAAGGGCAAGGAGGTCAAAGTGCCCTCCTGAGATGAGCACAGAAACAGCCACCTGCCCTCAATCGCCGGCTAGTGCCACCTCTGTCGCCCCCTCCCTCTGGCACCTGTTCTGCACACTGGCCTCCTGGGGCCCGAAGGGACCGGCTCCCTCACGGAACACTCCACACTCCACAGCACAGCGGTGCTCCCTGGGCAGGGGAGGAGGCCCCCCACCAGCTCCAGCCTCCCTCCCCCGCAGCAGGCCTGCACCGGGGGGGGCCTGGCCAGGGGCCCTCCCCTGTGGTTACCTTGGTCTGGATGACCTGCCGCGGGAAGTCGCTCATGGCATTGGTCAGCCAGCCTTCCAAGCTCTTGGCGAAATTGCGGATTGCCTGTGTCAAGGTGCCTGCGGGACCCACCACGACACACTCTTAGAAAGGCGGTGCCTGCCTCCAGTCAGCACGAGGGGACAGAGTCATCGCCCGCGGGAGGAAGACAGCGGCACCCAGGAAAACGCCACGCAGACAGGCGAGAGCAGGAGCGGGACACTGAGAATGGGGGACACTGGAAGGGGCTCCCGGGAGGGCGGGGGTGCCCAGGACAGTGTGTCTCCACCCACCAACCCTGACAGTGGCTCTCACTGAGGGATCTCCCTCCCTGGGACCTGAGCGAGGTCTGAGGACATCTGTGGTTGTCACCACTGGGGGGCTCCTGGCTTGGAGCGGGGCCGCTGCTCAGCCCCTGCAGTGCCCAGGACGTCCCACAGAGGGCAGTCTGCTCCAGTGTCCACAGCGCCCAGAGCAACCCCAGAACACACACGTGTGTACGAATGTCCTGCCGAACATGGGCAGGGCCTGGGCTCCAGCCCCGGGCCGGGGTAGGCTGGGCGGGCTGCGGCTGGGCGTGGAGCGGAGCATGAGGGGCCTGTTGGGGCAGCGGCCCCTCTGAGTATCTCTCATGGAAAAACAAAACAACAAATAAAAGAAACCAGGAGAAATGAGCAGGCCACGGGCCGCTGAGCGCTGCGCCTGCTATGGGACCGGAGGGCACGAGTCCCAGCGGTCCGCAGCTGCAGCTGGGCCCAGGGTAGTGGCGAGGGCGTGGCTGTAGGATAAGGGGCGTGGCTGTAGGATAAGGGGCGTGACAGGATAAGGGCGTGGCTGGGGAAGGGGCGTGGCGCGGCGGGACCAGGAGAAATGAGCAGGCCACGGGCCGCTGAGCGCTGCGCCTGCTATGGGACCGGAGGGCACGAGTCCCAGCGGTCCGCAGCTGCAGCTGGGCCCAGGGTAGTGGCGAGGGCGTGGCTGTAGGATAAGGGGCGTGGCTGTAGGATAAGGGGCGTGACAGGATAAGGGCGTGGCTGGGGAAGGGGCGTGGCGCGGCGTGCGGGGCGGGGCCTGCTCACTCGGCACCGGCCGCAGCACGTCCGGGATGAGGATCTCCACCAGCGCCTGGTACAGGATGTGGTCGCAGCTCCGCATCCACTTGAGGATGGGGTCGTATTTACACAGCGTGATGAGCTTGTCCTTGGGGAGGACGGCGCCCTCGGGCTCCTCCTCACTGCGGGCGGGAAGGGGCGTGGCTGGGCTGTGGCTCAAGGGCTGGCCCTGCCTGGGTGCCCACGGGGCGGGCGAGGCAGCAGGAGCGGCCCAGGTCGTGCACCGGGAACGATGGGCCTGCACGCCCACCGCGGGAGGGCTGCACGCTGCCCGCTTCCTTCCCGGACCCTGCACCGGCCCCCGCGCGTCCAGTCTCTGTTGCACCCACTGATGGCGCTGTCCCCTCTGCCGCCCTGCCTCACTGCCGCTAGGAGCTGAGGTCCCCTCTGCTTGGGATCGCGTGATCCTCACATTAGAAAAGGGGCCATGGGCAGGCGATCTAAACTACAAACCAACAGGGCGGATTCTAAAAACCTCGTGGACACAGAAAGACGCCTCGGCCCCAGGGCCCCAGTTCCCCAGGCTGATGCTTTTGTCTGTGGGTGGCCTGGGGCCCCAGCAGGTTAAATGGGGGCCTGGGTGAGGTCTCTCAGGTGCACGAGGGGCTCACCTGGCAGGTAGAGAGGGCGAGCCGTCACTGGAGGAGGCTTTCGCATTCCAGAAGGACAGCCACAGCTTCTCGATGTAGTGAAACTGGAGGTTCATGACCACGTCTAAGGTTGCCTGGGAGTGAAAACGACTGGTGAGACGCCAGGCGTGCACCGCCCTGTCCTCAGGCCACACCACGCAAGCTGCCGGGACACGGCTGCAGGGAGTTCTGGAAACCCCGAGGCCAGGTGGGAGGAGAAGGGGTGGACAGAGAGGGACGGGTGGAGGGCCCGCTTGGAGGAGGGCGGTCACCTCGCAGTGCCGTCTGTACACCAGCTGCAAGGCTTTGATGTCGTGCAGCGTGACACTCTCCTGCAGGAGGATGCCACCCAGGTCGGGCGCCGGGAACTCCGGGAAGACGTGGGAGACATCTGGGAGGAACAGGGCCTGTGAGAAACGGGGACGCCCCCGTGCAGGGGCACGTGCAGACCGACAGCCCTGGGAGCACGCTTGCTCTCAATGTGGCCGCACAGCTTCTGAAAATTTCCTTTTTTTTGGTTTCTGCCAGGACGGTGGAGCCAGTGGGCACCCATGGCAGCACCTGGGCAGCACATCTGGGGAAGAGGCCCACAGCTGCCCCGCAGTGAGTCCTGGAAATGGGCCTGACGCTATGTCAGTCTTCCCAAGGCGACAACCCGGAAGGTTCTGTCTGGGTTCAAAACACTAAGCAAGGGGCCAGCAGGTGGCGTGGTAGTTAAGGCGTTGGAATCCCACATGGTCAACCGCGCGTTCCGGACCAGTGGCTTGAAAATTATGCCAGGAGCCTGTGCGTGCGTGCCCAAGATCCTGAGAGGAGAATGGAGGAGAAGGGATTGCGGCGTGGCCATCCCCCCTGGGAGGTGATTTCTCGCTTTCTGTCTCTCTCTGTCTCTCTGGTGAACACACGCGCCCTATAACTAAAATCTCTCCAAAACAAAAACTCAAGAAAATGGCGTACCAGCCACTGAGCACCTCGGTCCATGTGAATGCCAGGGAGCCTGCCCTGCATGGCCCTCAGGGCAGAGGGTGAAGCTCGAAGCTCCTGAGCTGGGGAACCGGAGCTCCCGGCACCCAGGAAGACCCAGGGTGGTGGCCAGACCCCGCTGCTCACCAGCTGACAATCTTGCAAGACAGCACGCGCCCACTGCTCTCCCTGACGGTCACGCCTACTTTGCTTTCTTTGGCATGTGCTCATTCTAAAGTTCAGGGATGTCAGCAAGGTATACCTACAACTCTTTTTTTTTTTTTTTTTTTTTTGAGAGGTTTTTGCTATAGGCCATGTGTGCTTGCCAGAAAGACAGAGAGAGACAGAGAGACAACGAGAAATCACCCCCCAGCGAGATGGCCACGCCGCAATCCCTTCTCCTCCATTCTCCTCTCGGGATCTTAGGCACGCACGCACACGCGCCCGGCGTGAGTCTGGGATGCGAACCGCGGTCGACTACGTGGGAGTCCAGCGACATAGCCATCAGGCTAACTGCTGGCCCGTCTTTTAAGTTAATTTGCTAGACGGCATGTGATTTCGCTGAAGAGATGGAGAGAATGCAGGGACTGGGACGGCACCCCGGGGAGGCCACGCCGCAGTCCCTTCTCCACCACGCCTCCTCTCAGGGCCTTGGGCATGCACACTCACGCACCCAGTGTGTTTTCAGCTCAAACCACGAAGTCAGCCGCATTGGGTCCCGACGCTCAACCACCGTGCCCGCTGGCTGACTGGGTATCTAGAACTTTCTATCTAAGTGAAAAGCTATTGTACAGGAAAGCTGTTGAGAACACCTGTGTTAAACGCTGCTGGTGTGGACGCGGCCATGCAGCCCGAGAGCCACCTGGGCTGGGGCTTCCAGGCAGGCCCCGCGTGGGGACAGGGGTATGTGGGTCGGGCAAGTGGGCGCCTCTCACCTATGTACTGTTGGTGGTGCTGACTCTGCACAGCCATGGCCTGCTCGGGCGTGCTGTGTAGGCTGCTGTGGGAGCTGCTGTCCCCAAGGCTGTCCGTCTTCTGGGCTGGCCGGTACCTGGGCAGGGGACACGCATGCCACCAGGAGGCTCCGCGGCAGGGGGCTGGGTAGGGCTCAGTGTGGGGGCGTGTCTGCCTATCATTTCTAAAAGTTGTGGCCAACGACACACAGCACAGCACTGGCCATGTCAGCGATCTGGAGCACAGCCTGGGCAGTAGCCGTCCCCACGGCCGCGCGGACATCCCCCGTCCGTCTGCAGAGCTTGGTCTCCCAACTGAAGCTGTCCCCGTGAAGCACGCACTCCCCCACCCCCCAGTCCCTCCTGTCTGTGGGCGTGACCGCCCTGGGGCCCTCCTGTGGGGGTCACGGGATCTGTCTTTCCACGCCTGCTGTCCCTCGGCTCGTCTTTGCTGGGGCAGGCGTGGGGATCCACCCGCCCACCCACCACGCATGCTCGGGGGACCTGCACGCACAGCCTTCCCCGACACTGACGCTCTTTCCAAGGGTCACATGCGTCTCACTACCGCGCCGTGTCCGAGGAGGGCCTGGGAACAGTGGACCGCAGGCTGACACCCCGAGGGAGGGGATCCCCAGCCATCCATTCCTCCAGCCCCCAGGGCAGAGAAGATGTGGTCAGCCAAGGCCAGGCTCAGGGCAGGTCACGGCGTCAGACACACAGGCTCGGGTGTGGCTCCACACGCCCGGCCGGGGGGGGGCCCCGCCACTGCAAACCACACAGGCCTGTCCCCGACACGCGTGCAGCTGCTCCTGGAAGGATGCGCTGCCTGGAGCACAGACCTGTGGGTGCTGGCCAAGGGCCACAGCGGGACGACGGCTGTGGGGGCCGTGTCTGCAGACGGGGTTCGGGGTGGGCTGCTGGGCCCCGCGCTCCTACCTCAGCCTCCCGAGTTGCGGACTAACGCTGCCATCACGCCTGACCTGCCAGCTGGACTGCGAGTCAGACCCTGGCCCCGTGGTGGGGGGGGGGTCTGGGTCGCGCCGATTTGGAAGCCCACTCCGAGCCAGGGCCTGGCATGGAGACGCCGCAGGGAGGGGCAGGCGACGCGCCGAAGCTGGGGCGCGTGGTTAGTGGGGGGAAGGGGCACTGGGAGGGTGCCAGGGAGGTGAGACTCCAGAGGGTCCGGAACCAGGGCTGGGGGCCAACTGTGACCTGTGGGCCCCTTTTACTCATTGCCAGAGGTCATGTGTGCTTGCTGGAGACAGAGCACCCCAGCAGGGTGAGGTCACGCCGCCATCCCTTCTCCTCCATCCCTCCGCCATTCCGGGATTTGGGGCACCCACGTGTCTCGTGCGTTTTTGAAGCTGCCGGGGCCAGGCCTCAAAACGCGAGGTTACGGGCCCGTAGGCTGTTTCTGTCGCTTGGTTTTGCAGTTTTATTGGCTCACGACCACGCCCATCCCGCATGGGCTCCTGTATGGGGCTGGTTCTGCAACCCTGTGGCAGACGCGGGCGGGGCTGCAGAGGCTAAGCATTCGCTCTCTGCCTCTGCACAGAAAGAGCTTGCCCACTCCTGATGAGGAAATGGGGCTGGCAGGTGGCATAGTAGTTAAGGTGTTGGACTCCCGCGTGGCTGACAAAAGATCGGGTCCCGGACCTGGTGCCTTGCTTTTTCATTTTCCCCTTTTTCTCTCTAGACAAATTAAATAATAATAATAATAATAATAATTCTTAAAAAAAAAGGGGGGGGGAGCTGGCAGGGGGCATGGCACTAGACTCCCACATGGCTGACCATGGTTCGAGTCCCAGACCTGGAAGCTTGCTCTCCCACTTCTCCTTTTTCTTTCTGGTCAAGTTAAAAAATAATAATGTTACATAAAATAAAATAACTCTTTTTCAAAAATTAAATAAGAACATAACATTTCAATAGTTCTTAAATAAAAGAGGAGGAAGTGTGTGAGGGACGGACAGAGAGCACACCCCAGGAAACGAGCAGGCCTTTCCGGCCGCGGGATGAGCGGCAGGAGGCAGCAGCGACGGAGGGCACCGGCTTCTTCCTCACAGGGTTTTGAGCTACTGCTCGCGTTATTTTTGCTGTCGCCGTTTTCCCTAAACTTTAAAAAGTAAAGAACCGTGGCCGGCCCTGCGGCCTGGAAGTTAAGGGAGCCGGATCCCGCATGGCTGGCCCTGGTGCAAATCCTGACCCCAGTGGCCTCAAAACCACACTGGGCACACGTGTGTGCAAACGTGTTCAAAATCCTGACAGGACGGAGCGGTGGAGAAGGGACTGCGGCGTGACCACACCCCACGGGGCTGCTTTCTCCTCCTCTGTCTCTCTGGTAAGTGTACATGCTCTGGCAAAATTGCAAACAACAAAACCGGTGATTCTAACTCTGTGACATTCTGGACAAAGCACAAAACGTGGGGACGGCGAGAGGTCTGTGATGCCTGTGATGCAGGGGCGGCATGAGCGGCCAGACAGGGCAGTCAGGCCAGGACGCTCCCTGCGAGACCGGGGAGGGTGTGCCAGGCCCTCGTCCACAGCCGCAGGGCGCCAGACCAGAGGGAACCCTGGTGTAGCCCAGCACCTCCGGGGGACCACGCCCCGTCCGTGCAGCTCCGTCTGCTGTAAGGAAAGCGCCCTCCGTGGGGTGTCAGAGGGGAGGATGACGCCCAGGACGCGTTATCTGGAAACTGCCTGTGCTTCCACTTAACTGTGCTGTGGAGCAGAGCTGCTCTAGAAAGAGTCTACCTTTAAACACATAAAAAGTGAAGCTTGACCATCGCCGCCAGCGGAATGGGGCCCTAACCCACTCCGGGGCCCCTCCCCAGCCTCCCTGCACCCTGAGTGGACGCCGGTAGCTGGTGGTCTGCGGCCCTGGGTCTCTGGCTGTGTCTGTCTGTCTGGGAAGCTCCGCCCCCACGTGCTCCTAGGGCAGCCCGCCCCCCCCCCAGGGGCCCCCCCCCCCCCCCCCCAGGGCGGGCCACCCACCTGGGCTTCTGGTGGAGGGGCTGCTGCCGCATGGCCATGTACTGCGTGTCCTCCTGCAGCCGGTTCAGCGGCGAGTCAGGCTTCAGGCGGATCCCGTAGTAGTGGTACTTGGAGTTGCCCCTGGAAACCGAGCACGCCAGGGTCCGTGCTTGCGGCAGATGCCGGACCACGTGGGACCCTGCGCTGGCCCTTGGCTTGGGCCCGTCTGGCTCAGCGGTCCCGGGCGGTGTGGGAAACGCCCCCGGGGAGACTGCGCCCTGCGCCCCCTTCGGGGACAGTCCCGCTCCCGCTCACAGCACGCAGCGAAGGTGCTGAGAAGCCCCGGCTGGACCCCCTTGTTACTCAGCAGCTCCTCGGCCCCTTCAGCGGCTAGATAGCCCGGGTTATAGAACAGTGCGGCCAGGGGATGGCCACTTTAGCTCCTTATGGGAGAGTAATGACGGCAGAGCTTCAATGGCTACGTTTGGAGAACAGGCTGGGGGGCCGGCAGGTGGCCTGGTGGTTAGGGTGCTGGACTCTCAGGTGGCCGACTGTGGTTCGAGCCCCAGACCTGGTGGCTTGCTTCCTCACTTGCCCCCCCCCCCTGTCTGGTTAAATTAAAGAATAGTAACACTGATGGGGACCAGTGGATGGTATAATGGTTACGTCACTGGACTCCCATGTAGTTGACCACGGTTTGAGTCCCGGACCCAGCAGCTTAAAATTCACACCAGGCGTGTGTGCATGCGTGCCCAAAATCCCAAGAGGAGAATGGAGGAGAAGGGATTGCGGCATGGCCACCCCTCCCCCCGGGGTGTGTGATTTCTGTCTCTCTGTCTTGCTTTTTCTCTCTGTCTCTCTGGCAAGTGCATGCACCTCATAGCAAAAATCTCTCCCCCTCAAAAAATAACGTGATGAATAAAATGGAATAATTCTTTTTTTTTTTTTTTTTTTTTTAAGAAAAGACTTGGTAGCTTGAGCATCCCTAATCCAAAAATACAAAATCCGAAATGCTCCCAAATCCGAAACTTTCTGAGTGCCAGTATGATGCCGCAGGTGGGAAAGCCCACCCCTGAGGTCATGGGACGGGTGGCGGTCGAAACGTCACTGAACAAGAATACTGTAAAAACGACCTGCAGGCGACGTGGGGGGGGTGACGCACGAGTGAATGGCAAGGCGTGGGTCTGCCCCCAAGCTAGCCCTGCATGCGTGTGCAGCTAATTCCGGGATCTGAACACAAGTCTCAAACCCCAAAGACCTACAGAGGTCCTGGGCGTTTTGGATCAGGGACGCTCAACTTGCACCGTGGGACATTCCAAGGGCAGAAAGAAAAACAAAGTGAGCCCCCGCGTCCCAGCGTGGGACCTGCGGGAGAGGTGACCTGGCTCCCCCAGGAGGACTGTGACGGGACACCCGGCAGTGGGAGGAGCCCCCCCATTTCCCGAAGCTCGGTGTGCGGGGTGGGGCGTCAGACACGGGGTGCCCGTACCCACCTGGTCCCCAGCCGCCGGGTCCGCAGGCCCATGAACACGGAGCGGATCAGCTTCCCGAAGGAGGCGGCGTTCACGGGGTCCACCTTGTGCTCCTGGCAGTGCCGCAGGTAGTGATTGTACAGGGAGCTGCGGGGCAGGCTCACACCCTCCGCCGTCTCGTAGTTATCTAACAGCCACTGCAGCTGGCGGGGACAGACACGGGCCGTCAGACGCCAGCGGGCCCCACCTGGCGCTCCGAGGCGTGCTCGCTAAGCAGGTGGCTCAGCGCCCGGCTTCACTCATTCGCGCGGCCCTTCCACTTTCAGCCCGGCGTCCCGGCTCCTTGACTTATTTTATGGAAATCTGCGTGTGCTCGCAACCTACCGGGTTCTGTCTTCACCGTCACGGAGAGGCGCACGCCACCCGCCCTTGAAACAGCGCGGCTCCGACGCTGCGGGGCGTGCAGGGAGAGGACAGAGGGCCCGCGGGGATGACGAACACCACACCAGGGGACCCACGGGGACTGAAATCCCCGGCGAGAAAAGGACCCGTGGGAACTTACAGGGGATGCACATACTCACGTGCAAAGTCTTTTTTTTTTTTTAATTTTTAAAAATAATTATTCATTTAATTTTATTCTTCTTCAATTTGGCCAGAGAGAGAGAGAGAGAGAGAACAAGTTGCCAGGTCCAGGAATCAAACCATGGTCGACCATGTGGGAGTCCAGCGCCCCAGCCGCCATGCCACCTGCCAGCCCATTGTTTTTCTGTTTTGGTACAGGCGTGTGCACTCACCAGAGAGAGATGGAGCGGGAGACTGAGGAATGAACACCTACAATCCCTTCTCTTCCATTTTTCTCTCTGGATTTTGGGCACACGCACATGCACCTGGCATGTTTGTCAAACCACCGGGTCCCGGAATTGAACCGTGGTTACCCATGTGGGATCCAGGTGCCTTAGCCTCCGCGCCACCTGCTGGCCCGGCGTGCAAAGTTTTGTGCTCTAAGTCCGACCAAAGCCTGCAGAGCTGTGCCCCGAGAGGTCACCGTGAGGCCTGCACAGAGGCCGGAACGGAGGGCGCTGGAGGACGGGGCGCTCCCTGACTCTGAGCCACACCTCCCGC